CCAGACGTTGTTTTGTCTCTTTCACACTTATGGCTTCATATCTACAGCTGTCTCCTTTTACCGGCATTTATCACGAGTTGCCGCCTCCCTTTATTTGGCACGTTTTATTTAGTTTTCGCCTCTTAATGGATTTATTCTGTGTTCGTCCTTTGACCTTGCGGTTGTCTCAAACTTCTTATGGGTTTCTACTGTTAGGAGTTTGACCTCTAATACTTTTACCGTGGGGCTGAAAAAGTAGTTGATTCTCTGTTTCTCTCAAGTATTTTTTTATCTATGAATAGTAATACAATGTTATTCTAACATGAATTTAGTTGGATTAATCTACGACAGAAGGATTTTTTTTATACAACTTATAATGGCAAACAAGCTGACGGCCTACCTGATGGAAAGTGGTAACCGTCGCCTATAGACATGAGCAGTACTATGGACATAACAGAGTATACTCTTTTGCCCATGATACCTTCCATGCGTTGCCATTCCTGAGGACTCGGGTGTTATTCCTCTGTACCCTGTAAATTCACGGCATATCCCACCCTTCAAACCGAAACACAGCCATGCAAACACAACTGCTTCACGGTTGAAACACGAATGAGACAGAGGTACCCAAGCAATCGACTTTTATATAAAGGATTGTTAATGATAAGAAAGGGAGATATTGATTTAAGGACGTCTACGCATAGAGTTGCGTATGAAATCTTAGTTTTTTAGGTGTCCGTATGTCAAATGGATTATGGATTACTGTTTGTTTTCCCTCTATCTGTACGGCTGTCAAAATCTTTTTTCTCAGGAACGCGTGGAAATTTCGAGCTCAAATTAATATCAAATATTCAAGTCTCTAGGTCTTTGAAGCTGTAAAAAAAAATAAAACTTCGAAGTCAAAACAATCGAAAAATACCGCCGTTTACAAGGGAATTAAACCTTAAAGGCTATTTTCGGTTGACATAGAATCATAAAATTAGGCAAGAAGCATTGTCCAGCAGCACAAGCAAAGAGGAAAATAAAAAATCGTTAATTTGTAGTGCACCATAATAAAATATATTTTTTTGAAAAATATTTATTTTTAATTATAATTTGTATGGAATTCTTGGTGCGCGAATCCGCTTTGCACCTGGCCGGTATTTTTATATCAATAAGCGACAATAAAGCTGACATTATTACAACAATAGAAATAGATAAAACGGCGGCCTCAAGCGAGATATACATCACAAAACTCAATGCAAAACATGAAATAATCTTCCATTTAATTAAATCGTTAGTTGTGGATTTCCTAAAATTCCCTCGCATCACTGAACTTGGGCTTGTGGTATAATAGTTTGAGTGGTTTGGTTTTAAGGTCGCCCTTGAAGGTTATACCGTAGACCCATCATTGGATCCCTAATTTCAATAGTTCCCTAATCTTTTTGTAATCCTAAGCCAATGTCGTAAGACATCTTACATCATTGACTTAGGATACCAAAAATTTACGCGTATGTTTTTAATTTCTATATAGAAATACTAACTATGAAATGAAATGAATTTATTTTGATAGAATGTAGATAATTTTTAGATGAAAATGGTTTACATGTCCAGTATACATCTGTCTCTATACCGGCGTGCAAATGTTTAAGAATATATAAAATTTACATATATATTCCACATTATATTTCCTTTCATTAGTTATATTATATAACCTCTTATCTAAAAATATTACAGTACATATTCTGCGGCTCCGCCCGCGTATATTCTACTAATATTATAAAAGTGAAAGTTAATAAAGATGTATGGATGTTTGTTATTCAACCACGCTTAAACAAATGAACGGATCTTGTATATTATTTATTAATATGTACGCATTTATTTTATAATTTATATCTACAAATAATTCATATTATTTAATCCATACAGATCGATATGTAATAGCAACTTCAAACATCGAAAGCGTCCTATCGAATAATCGGCTAAAATATCAGAGAGCAGTGAGCTGTGATGGAGAGCTATCGCCTTACAGATTTGCAGGCACTTTCACGCTCAGCGGCCGCCCGCGCTTTCCGCCGTGTGCCCATCACCGTGATGATACCACTCGATAACAGGTGATAAAAAATAATAATAATTTATGTTACTGTTTTTCAGTTGAAATGTTCAATTGTCCAGAACAATGCAAACATACTCGTATATATTTCCGATCTTACTCACACTCCCGTATTTTGCTTGTAATGGTGTCTCTTTCTGTTACTGTCATTACGTATCATATCTATTAGAACTGCAGCAGGTACGTTCCTTATTCTATGTGCTATCTATTGATGATTTCTCATTTCATCAACCTTCATGAACAATAATAGTTATTGTTTTATATAAAAAGTCTATTTAGCATCTCAAAATAGTTTTGCAAATTATATTGTGTACAGATATCGTTATAAATATGGTATCGTTTGAAGAATATCTTTTTGTTTTGTTAATTCATCAGTTTCTCAATCTATACATATTTACTCCAAATCTTGTATTATAGTTAATTATTAATTTGTTATAACCATTTAGACGCACTCCTTTGTAATTATTTTTATATACTATTAACGGCAGAAATGACAAATAAGACTAAGCACCTCGCTATAAAAAAGTGTTAACTTGTTGAAAATCGAATTTGGCTTTATTTGGCTACGTGGAGAAATGTGTTTAATATGTAGTATGCAGTTGTAAGTCTAGTCCATCATTTAACTGTATGGAATGTAGAGAAAATGTTGGAAAGTATTACGCATACAAGTATTTAGGCGTTTACTTACTTATTTTTAAGCATCGCGTCAGACTGGAATAACGAATTTGCAGGTCTATTTCAAAGAACGATAGGTAAAAGGTGAGAATAAGTAAAAACAAGGGTTTAAATTTTCAACCGAATCCGAAAAGAAGATTTTCAATTCTGTTGTCTTTTATTCATGTTTGTTAACTCCGTCGTTTGTAAATCGGTTTGGAAAATTCTTTTTTCTTAAGTGAAAGGATATATTTACAAATTAGTTCCATAGAAATTTTTATTAAAAATCGGATTAGTATAATTTTTAAAATAATTGATTTTGCTACAACTGAAGTCGGTATTTTTCGTGGAACACAATCTTAATAATAGTAAATAGACTTAACAGTAATGCAAACATCAGTTGATGAATGTATTTGCACCAGGTTTTTTAAGATAAGTAAAACAGAGAGTATGTTATTTTTAATTAATAGTAACAATTCTGAGGTGCCATTTCCTAAACCGATATGAAAAATTAATATTTCAATTTTATTTACAATCAACTCCAACATCTACTGTTATTAATATATCTAGATTTCATAAGAAACAAATCAACGATAACGTTTCTTAATGAAACAAAGTTCTAACAATGTTTTTAAATCAATAAGCGTTTCAGATTCTTTAGATACTCTTCTATACTCTGTAGACACGGGTATAATTTTTACAGAAAATATATTACACGAAAAATACCTTTAAAGAAAATTTTATGTTGAAATTATAATAAATAGGTAAAAAGAATTTTAATAATATGTATTCAGCATTTCATCTTTAAGATAAAAGATTCATTCACAATCTTATTATAATCGGTTTAAGGGATCGAAATTAAAAATTCCATAACTCCAACAGAGGTTGCAGTTATGTGGGACTTTCAGAAAAATGTTCAAAGCCACCTAATTGGATACAGAGTACAGACCACTACAAAGGGGGATGTTTGAGATAAAAATGAAAATTAAATCTTCCAAGCGGATGGGCAGAGTAATGTTTTTGACGGTATCGTAGGCGGGACTGCCCCCCTTCCAGCTTGCCTCCCCCCACCGCGCCCCGCAGGCGAGGGGGAGCCGCAAATCGACTATCAAAATGCTGGTAAAAAAAGTTGTGTTCCCAGACAGACAGTGTGACCGGCTGTTGTGGCTTTTCTGCCTTTTTTGGCGGCGTGCTTTTGTTTTATTATCGCCATTTTTGAAATGAGCTGTATACAAGCATTGAAGTAAATATTTATCTACGTAAAAACTGGTTTATGTCTCATACAAATAACTGTTTGTTTGATATAATAAAACATGAATGAATCTATAGTATTTAAAGCAGATGAATATAAGTGGAAATGTACTAAAATCTCATAGCCCATAAATGTCTTGTTAAAAAAAGCTACCTTAAAGTATTCCTTTTAGAAAGTAGTTTATATAGAAAATTCTTGAATGATCTCTGAAGTCTAATTTTGTTTACACATTCCGCTAGGCAAACATAAGATTTGATTTATATTAGATAATTATTAATGATTTACTCTAAAGTTCAGATACGATCCGATAGTGTAGGTACCTGTCAGCACCTTAATATACTTACGATTTCAGTTACAATCAAGCTTTATTACTTTGGTATCACCTACCACAACAACTTTCTGTCAGCGATCCTTAAGTGTCAGTCGTATTTAAATTTATCTACCTAAGTATCTACTTAGGCAATAATAAATCATTTGTCTATAGATATTTATGTAAAGAGAGAAAATTTGTTATTATATATTTGATGTTATGTCAGGATATAAATATATTTAGTAAAAGTTATTTACTTTTTAGGATCGCACTATTAACATAATTATCAGCCGTTAACTGCCCACTGCTGAACATAGGCCTTTTCCATAAGAGAGATTTTGACATAATACATAGAAATATCTTATATTTAATTTTGCTGGTTACTTTGAGTCAAAGACTGTTTTATTTGCTCTTCTAATATAGTTGTACGTTATACTAATAATTATGTATTTTATTATGTATATATATATTTATGTATTTAATATATTATGTGTATGTTTATATTAGTTTAATTATATATTTATAATATATTAAGTATTAATTTTTATATTCCTTCAATTCAATAATGCACCGCCTACTTATTTGTTAGTTTGCCCAATGGTTGACTGGTAGAGAACACCGTCCGGTGTTAAGTCCGCCATATGTACATAGTTTCATTGTGCAGTAAAGTTTCAATAAATAAATATCTCGTCTAAATCATTTACATAACCACTAACCTTTTTTCATAGCTGTCATGTCGCCTCCATTGCACGCTATAGCCTGAGGTCCAGGACTCAGGCTGTGTAGTTGGTACGGTGGTGTTCTCGTATCTATCTGCGCTGGCCATGGTGCCCTTGGCCACGTGGGAGCCGACCCTGGAGTGCCCAGGAGTCGAAGCCGCTCGTACACAGGCGTCGAACAGTCGGAGGTGGGTTGTTGGTTGTTAGACTTCTCTTTTTGAGCAGCCAGGTTACGGAGCACGCGGTTTATCGACGATACCTAAATATAAAAATTAAAGAAGTGTTAAATAAATTGAAAATCAACCTTATTCAGTTTTAATGAGGTATAAATTACAACTACAAAGGCATATCTGTCCGTTATGGCTTAAATATTTTTTAAAGAATTTAATGTAATGGTGATTCCGTTTGTGTTATTGGTTGTTGGTGATGTAAAAGTGAAAGATGATATGTGAGAACGAATTCATATGAATTTATTTATAATGATGATTTCATCAGAAGTTAACTATGGTTTCTAGACGGGACCGCGTGGAGGTCAATCTGACAGAGTGTGTTTATTCATAAAAAACATGGTAGTAAAGAGGGCCATCTTTACTGAAATATTGTACTAATATTATTTATGTCATATGTTTGTTATTATCTGATTATTTGGACAATTATTACAATTGTAAAAGAGATAGTACGTCAATGTATCAACTGCCTTATTGCTTGCTCCATGTAATTATATTATTACCAGAGGGAGATTGTACAAAAGTCGATTGCTTGATTACCTCTGTCCCATTCGTGTTTCAACCGTAAAGCAGTTGTGTTTGCATAGCTGTGTTTCGATTTGAAGGGTGGGATATGGCGTGAATTTATTGGGTACGGAGGAATAACACCTGAGTCCTCAGGAATGGCTACGCATGGGGGTATCATGGGCGAAACAGTATACTCTGTTATGTCCATGGTACTGCTCATGTCTATAGGCGACGGTTACCACTTTCCATCAGGTGGGCCGTTAGCTTGTTTGCCATTCTAAGTTGTATAAAAAAAAACTATAAAGTCGTAAGTACTACCCTTATTATATTATATATAAGTATTGCATACATCTACATATATATGTAATAATTATTAATTTATATTAATTTTAATAGAATTCATATCATAAGTCTGTTGCTGATCATTAAAAAAAGCAGTCAAAGATTGGTAGTAATAAATAAATAGGTAAATAAGCCTATTATTTTTTTATCGACAAATAAAATACGTTATTAGCCGTGGATACGATGCCGTGATACGATATCCGATGTTTATGATAAAGGGCGGCCGAGCGGCCGTGACAACACGGAATCGGACGGGCGTGCAATAAATTGATTCCCTAATAAAATTATACTATACGAGTACTTTACATTAAAATGAGCTGTGACGGTTATAGTCGTATTTATTTGATAAAATTAAATAATATGTTGTTAAATAATTGTCTTTGACTTATTTAGTCATTTTATTTATTTGATAAAATTAACAATATGTTGTTAAATAATTGTCTTTGACTTATTTAGTCATTTTATTTATTTGATAAAATTAACAATATGTTGTTAAATAATTGTCTTTAACTTATTTAGTCATTTTATTTATTTGATAAAATTAACAATATGTTGTTAAATAATTGTCTTTGACTTATTTAGTCATTTCATTTATTCATTAGTACATGTATTTATAATAAAATACATGATATCAAAATTATAAACTTATTAATGTAGATACCTATTATATTTTAATGATATTGTTCATCCCTTATTTACATCACTTTCGCATATTTTATAAGTATGCACATTTATTATGACATGTAGGTATAATCTTTGTATAAGTACTATACAAGTATAATACATGTATAAAATAATATACAATATATGTTTGGTGAAAAAGAAAGGTAAATTATGTACATTAGTAATATTCATATTTAATTAATAAAGGTTTTGAAGAATAGATATCGTTTTAAACGTGTTGTTTGATTTGTCGTATGTTTTCTCCTGGATTGCATAAATTTATGAAACTAAAAATGCTCTCCTGCGCTAATCGGTATACACTGGCGGGACATCAGCAAGGAATTACAGGTAATGATGAAAACAACCATGGGCCAAAGTGGCCCATCGTGGTGAATTCAATAACAAATCACGATAGTTTCCAGTGGAGTCTACACGGAGATCGACCTGACCTATATCCTATATTGCTAGTAATGGGGTCGCTAGTCCCCATTACTAACGCTCTCTTCTTCCCCCTAGCATTTAGATCTTATCTATATTAAGTCTGTAAATACCATAGATTAAGAATAGTATTTTCGGTGGTATTCTCTTTCTACGACAAAAACCTTTGGCGCTTAGATTTGTGCAGCTCTACCTACCCTGTAAGGAGTTTGCCGTAAAGGTACTTATAGACATACACTACATATAACAGGTAACTAGAAAATAAACGTGTGGATCAAACATATTTCATTATGATTTCTATCTTTAATAATGCAAAGTATAAATATTTAAAACTTTTAGGTCTATCGTTACCTACAGTCTTCAATATTCGTAGTAAACGAATCAGCTATGAAAATTATCATACCGATCGATGAGACAGATGATTCAATCTATACGACGTAACAGCTGATTAGAATTGGTAACTCATAATAAGATCGATTTGGATGTTAAGACATAGTGATTGTATCAATTGAACAGGTCCACAGCCTAAAGCTCACCCAGGTTCACAGCTCACAGTTCGGTTCAGGCAGACGTGACTTCCGAAAAAAAATTGTTTACAATCTATGGAACCATTATATTAAATTCAATTTTTTTATTATATAATATAATTTTTTTATGCTATATACTGATGTTGACATTTTAGACACAGGTCATACTACTCGTATTGTTGTACAACACTAATATTATTAATTTATTTTAGACGGTTACATAGTTCCATTTTCCAATTCCGTCAATATAAGGGCAGTGTCGACTCATAAAATATGACGTAGTGATTACCTACTTGCTATGTGGTCCAATCCAGGTGAATTATATTGCAGGAATATAAAAATGAACCAGGCGTACCAACTGTCACACAGACATGTGACAGCGCGCCAAACGGACGTAGAGCGTAACTTAGACGTAGGACAGGAAGGCGAGGCCGTAAGACGATAGATGGTAACCTGATATGCGGCCGCGCGGTGGTCCTCGCCACGCGGTGACTGGCAGCTGACGGAATGCCCGATGGACCGAGAAAGCGCGGCACGTTCGAGGAACGAATACCCATATTTTTTTTAAATAAATATTTTTTGTCTATGGTAAAGTCGCCGGTTTGTTATTGTCAATTGACAGATTGTTAGATATCGTTTAATTAGAGGTTATAAGTATATTAGCACTGTAATCAGGCAATTATTATATTCAATTTTGATAATAATGCACATGTTTAGCATAATTATAATAATTAAACCTAACTGCGGTTGCTAATCCGCCTGCTAAGCCTGACAACTACTGGAAAAACCCCCTAAGGGGAGGTTTATGTTCAGTAGTGGACAGTTAAAGGCTGATATGCTAATGTTGATGATAGCACAATAACATAGAGATCTTTGTTCATGCCGTATATATAGACAACATAATACTATCTATACATTTGTTTAATATAGATAGATAAAATATTCATAAATTTAATAAGCAGTTGCAGTTAATTTGTGGTTTTAAACTTTATCATTTCCATTGTAAAAGAAGCATTACGTAAATGTGAAAAATTTTGGATCCAATTAAAACAAATTACAATTCGATCTGCATATTTTTTAAACATGTTTGATGAAAGTTCAGTTGTTTAATCATCATAATTATATCGAGTCTTAATAAAAATACATCTCTCCCATAAGGGTGGGAGGTGGGTTGCCAGTAGTAGCCACGCTTGGCAAGCGGGTTGGCAACCGCAGTTTGGCTTTGGTGATGTTTTAAAAACGACGCTGCAGCAACCTGAATAGTACCTTGAACATAACAGAATAATGCTATGCAATGACGCTTATGGTATTCTTCGTGGATTATATTATTATAATAAAGATTTATTGCACATAAAAATATACAGTCATGGGTTTACAGAAATTTCAAAGTGAATTATATGTGTATAAAGTGTAGCATTATGCCCAGCACATTGGTGTCTAAATTAGGCCTAGCCTGTATCTTAGACACTAATGCCTTCTATTAGATACATATTTTCATGCAGTTTCGCTATATTAAAATAGTACAAGATTCAGTAAACAACATGTTTTATATTACAATGTTGTATCAAGAAATGTGCCATTATTAGTAGAATAGATGTCATGCTCTGCACTGTTGTCATTTGGTTCATTTATCAACCGACTTAAAAAAGAAATAGACTCTCAATTCGGTTGTATTTTTTTTTATGTGTGTAATCTTATAATTCTGTAAGTTCTGAATCGATTTGGAGAATACTTTCTTTATTTGAAAGGATATACTTATTGATTGGTCCCATTAAATTTTTATATAAATGATTCAGTCGTTTAGTTTTTAGACCAAAATAACTGATTTTGTCACATATTTAAAAGTCGGTTTTTGTTTGTGGGACACATTTTTTATTTGATCACTAATTGTTATTGCACGATATATTTTCCTTTATTAAGTATAATTGTAGGTATTCAAAGTTTTATTTGCAACGAAATCATTTGTACAAAGTGAATTTAGAAACACGATTTGTTCGATCAGAAATTTTTAATTAAAAGTCAAACAAATCTGTCCTCTAACTTTCTAACGCGAATCAAATAAAAATAGAAAACGTTAAAAAGGGTTGATTTCAAAACAAGTTTCCTTACAAATCAAATGGAAATTTTTAACAAGACGTTTTCGCAGTGCGCAGCAAATTCATTGGATCGCTCCAATTAAATGTTTCATCATTATTAATTTGTATTGCTCGTGTATTATCAGTCAATTGTTTCGAATCATTAGAAGAATTGTTTTTATTTATGGCACTAAAGACATTGTTCAGTAATTCAGTCGCGAAAATTGCTTTGTTCTTTATAATTTTAGTGGTAGAGCTTTTGTTTTGTTCAATTATTAGAGACATTAAAAGAGTATTAGTTGAATAACTACTTTTTTAATTAATTTTAAAATTATTATATACCTAAGCTATATTACTTAGGTATATAGTCTACTTGGGATAGTAAGCTGAAGAATAAGCAAGCTGACGATGAGCTGGTAACATAGCTCGAAGAACCGACAATCGATGGTGAAGAAAGATTCTTGAGTGCTGATCCCGTAC